GGGCCCGGGAACCCGCCCCCACGGCTCCGCCTCCGCGGTGCCCATTGCGCCGTCTGCTCATCACTCAGCTCAGCCTCTGCTGTAATTGGACAGCTTTCAACGAGTGGCTCTGTGATAGCCGCCCATTCTCCGCCCCTGTCACCCGCCACACGCGCACACATTCTGGGCAGTGATTGGTGTGGGTCTGATTGGTGCATTCTGGGATCAGTCAACCACACCTCTTTGCTAGCTCGTCGTGTCACTGGTGAAAGGGACAGAGGGAGGTAATTCCACGCGCCCTTTGATTTTATTGGTTGGTCTGTGGGGCTCAGACCCGAGTCGGGGGACAACTATTTTAGTCCAATCTCTGGTTTGAGAAGGTGGGGCGTACTGGCCACTGCTCGAATCCCGGGAGAACCTTCTGGAACCCGTGCAACGTCAAAGACAGCCTTAAAGGAAAACTGCACCTACCAGTTTGCGGTGACTCTGGGCATTCTTTACTTTCTTCATTTAGGAGGGTAGGGGAGAGGATAGTGCACTCTGGGAGGTGTAGTCCCTGGGCCAGGATCAAATGGTCACCCCTTCTTACCTGCCTTCCATTGAATTGTGAACTAACCTCTCCCTGACCTGAATGAGCTTTACCTTATCTTGACCCGGAGTTGACCTGATGTGACCTAACTGGATATCAAAACAGACCCGGGTAGACGTGCGGAGTTAAGTACCTTCCTGTCTCTTCTTTGTAACCCGTTGTTCTCCAAAGGTTTAGCACCTCCATAATTCCTTTCCTGAGTCTCCTTTTCATTCTCTGTATAATCCCCTCATCCCTGCTCCTCCATGAGCAGCCCCTTCTCAGCAACCCCCACAGTCCCTATTAAAGTTCTACCTATAATCTTTCATCCTTCTTCCCCTTTGAGTTCCCACGTTTTAGCCCCCTTTTACTGTCCCCTCTTCTTAGCCCTATATGATCTCCTGTCTTTCCCCATGATCCTCTGTCTTATCCTATTTTTAATCCTTTACTCCCATGAACTCCCCTATCCTAGTCGCCGCTTTAATCCTTCATCTCAGCTCCACATGATCTCCTTTCTTAACACCTTCAGAATCTCCTATCTCAGTACCTCCCCACCCCCATTAAATCTCAGCCCCAGTGTCCCCGATGTTCAGAGCAAGCAGGGCTGCGGAGGCGGTCGCCAGCGGAAGCCGACGCTTAGCAGACACGGTGCCTGGCGCCCACGTCACTGTCTCCCCGGCCCATCTGTGCTAGAAGAAGCGGGGGTAGGGAGGAGGTAATCTGGGGGTGAAGAGGGGGAGGAGTTCATGGGGGGAGGTTTGAGGACAAAGGAAGGACCAGAGCAGAAGCTCTCACATACCTTTCTTTCTATGAGGTTTCCCAGAGACAGTTTGGACACCCATGTGGTCGTTCAAACTGAATAGAGCTGGAAACAGGCTTGGAGAGCATCAGTACCTAGGCCACAGAGTAGAGCAGAGCAGGAGAAAGGTCTAGGGATCCTGAGGTCAGGTCTACGTATCCTCCCTTACCTGCTTTCTTTCTAATACTCACTATGGGGATCCCAGGTGTAAAGGGGTGTGAGGTGTGAAGGAAGTGTGGTAAGAGGAGGATGGAGAGGAGGCAGATAAGGGGGATAAGGAGAGGAGGGGGGCAAGATGGGGTAGGGGATATAGGGAGGAGAGGTGGGGTGAGAGGGATCACAAGAGGTAGGAGGGAGATGGGGAGTGGAGGGGAGGTGGGATGAGGGGAGATTTGGTGGGAGGTAGTGGGAGGTGAGAAGGGAAGGGGAAGTGGGGAGGAGAATAGAAGGGAGGGGAGATGGGGTGAGTAGCAAAAGGATGGGACAGAGAGATGGGGTGAGGAGGAATGGGGAAGGGAGGGGAAGTGGAGTGATGAGAGAACAGAATAGCATGATATGGAGGTGGGAAAGGGAGGATGAGGGGGCTTAGGACTGGTACTCACTCCTTATATTTGGGGGCTCTTACTCCCCCACCTCCAGACTCATGGGGGCCTGGGCTGTGAATGCTCTGCTTCTTCCTATTCCAGTTCTGTCTATTTTGCCTCCTCCAGTTTTCCCTGTGCCAACACGGAGGCTGAGTTTAGTCACCGGCCTTTACCTGGTCCCTGCTAATGCTAAAGTGTAGGCTTATACCTTCAAGGGCACAGGGCTGTGCCTTCAGACTGTTGTTTGCCGAGTTTGCAGTTGCTGTCCTGTGTCCCATAGCTCTGGGAATCAGATGTGTGTGTAAGGAACCAGGGTACGTAGTGTGGCATAGGGTGTAAGAATGTAGGCTCTGGAGGCAGACTGTTCACCTTGTGAGGTTACTTGCCACATGTATGCTCATTTCCTCCTTTGAAAATTGGGGATAAACAACACCGGTACCTTATAGTGTTGTTGTGAGGGTTAATTAAGGTAACATATGTAATGCACCTAGTTCTGAGCTTGGCATGTTGTTAATGCTTAAGAAAGTTAACTTACTCTGTATGTTCACAGATATCTGGGTGTGTGAGTTCATCTGTAAATGTTTGGCAATTATTTGTACTGCTGTATCTGTGATACAATTTGTGAGAGTGTATTTGTGTAATTACTTTCGTGTGGTAGCATGCGTGATTCTGTGTTATTTGCTGTAGGTAATGTGATTTTGTGCTAATGTACATATGTGATTAAATAACTGTGTAGGCCTGTGCCTACATGATAAAGAGTGGATGAAGTGTGTCTTTATGGCTGTTGATATGCTGACGCCGTGTCTGCTGGTGTATGAATGCATCTGTGATTGTGTCAGTTCCAAACGCCCCCAGTCACCCTCCCTCCCAGCGGAGACGTCACAACCCTAGGTGTCCCTCATTTCCTCACCCTGAGGGAACCGGAACCCGGGGGCGGGGCGGGAGTGGGTGACAGTGAGGAGGTGTTTAGACAGGAGCACATGTTCCCTCCCAGACTGTGTATGGGAGGGGGAGCCCTATCTTGCATATACCCTAAAGGCTCCAGAGGAAGTGCTCCCTCAACTCTGTTTTCAGTTCTTTGTCTTGTCACCATGGCAGCAGTTGCCAGGGGCTCCCAGGGTTGCTAAGATCTGGGTGTGGGTGGCTGCCAGGCCCTGTTGCCAGTAGAAACAGAATCCTGGGGGGAAGGAAGCCTACCTCCATAGCTGCCAGCTTTCTGCAGTGACAAGACTGGCCCTTGGACCTCTCCTGTCCCCAAATTTTACCTGTAATTTGTATGTCGCAGTACTAGAGTTGGTGGGGGTTTTAATAGGAAGATATTTAATAGGAACTAGAATATTGAGATTCACCTTCTGAGGAGAAAGGGGGCTCTAGCTTGGCTATTACCATGTTTAAAGTTGGGAGGCCCTTAGAAATTAGTGACTACCTTATTCTGTCCCTCAACTCTTATACTTCTCCTCTGGCAGTATCTCTTCTTGACTTCTCCAAAGGCTGGTGCTTATTACCTGGTGCTTCCACCTGGTATACGAATACTATGTTGACCCTGTTACCTTGGATGCAGACTGACTCCTTCCTGTGGTCAGACTCTTAGCATATTACCTGGTTACATACTTCATGCTGACACTTGAGCCCTAAATTCAGTCCCACACTGAGCCCCAATTTTGGCCTCAGCCTGAGACACTGACCTTGGTGTTACTTCTGGACCAGACAGTTCCCCACACCCAGCCTCAGCCTAAGTTCTCCTAGACACAGATAAGCCCTAATCTTGATACTGATACTTGAACTCAGGCACAGAGTCCATTCTGATCCTGTACACTGACTGACCACTGACTAGTGATCTAACTCTGTGTACTTGCCTGGCATCTCCCTTCATGTTCTGAACCTATACTGGCCAGTACCATAAAAGTGCAAAGGTTTTTTTTCCCCTTGCCTTGGGGTGAGAGGACAGTACTAGAAATGACCAGAAGAGGGCGTGCAACATCAGGTTCTAAAGGCACACTTCCCAGAGCCCACCTGGGATGGAGATAATAGGCAGATTGAGATCTTGGATCTTTTCTCTCTGGTCAGGAACCAGAGCTGAAGGCACAGCAATTGGTCTAAGAGGTTGAACTAAAGAAATTAAGGTTCTCAACCCAGTGATGCTCATGTTTTGGGATCATGTGGGTCTTACAAGCATGGATCTCTCTCCAGTTCAGCGGGCCTCAAGGCTGGGGCTGCTCAAGAAGGTGCTTAACCACTTACTGGCATTGCATGTCTCAGGAGGACTGGATACCTGGGAAGGCATCCCACCCTCAACTCCACATTTCTGTCATATACTCCACTACCTTCCCTTGTATTCAGTTATCTTTTGGTCCTATTGAGCAGAAATCTGCCTCTCCCCACCTTTTTAAAAAATATATATTTTTATTGAAGTATAGTCAGTTTACAATGTTGTGTCACTCCCCCACCTTTGGTCTTAGCTCTATCCTTGAGGTCACATCGACCTCATTGGTCCCATCTGCCAGATATCAGCCATCTGCATCCCTTAAGTCTGCTCCTCACCAGGGTGAACACCCCTCAGGCCTTCATGTGTTCTTCTTCTGCCTTGTTCAATTCCAGCCACTAAGACCGTGTTCCTCTGGCTAGGTTTCAGTTTGTGATGCCTGGCTCTGATTAGCTTTTTCCAGGAGTGCTGGTGCAGTGTACAACCAAGCCAGCCTGCCTCCCTCCTCTGACCCTGCACTTCTTTCCATGTAGCCTCAGGTTACATCAACTTTTTTTTTTTCACACCAAGTGAAAACTACATCCTTCGTTCTCCCTGACCTGCTAAGTCACATCTTGCCCATTTGTACCTGTTATGATTTTGAAAGGAGTGTTATTATTTATTTAAAAAAACAAAGATATTTGAAATTAATGAAATAAAAAACATTTTGGCAGTGTCTTCTGAGTTTTAGGGCAGTTTTTGGGCTTGGACATCTCTGTATTTGATGCTTACTTGAAGGTGGGACAAGAAGGGACTAAAGTGCTCATTTTAGCAGCACATATTCTAAAATTGGAACATTACAGAGAAGATTAGCATGGCTTCTGTGCAAGCATGACATGCAAATCTGTGAAGTGTTCCATATTTTTGATGAATCTTAAAATATAATGTAAAGTGAATGTATATGTTAATAAATTAGTATATTACAAAAGAAAAGAGGGACTGAAGATCCTTAGCTGGCTTGGCTGTGACTTCAGCACTGTGGACAGAGGCCATTGGCAGCACCCCCAGCTATGCCTGGGACTGTGGGTGGGTGGAAGATGATACACACACAGCCTTCAGATGGGGCCAGAAATTCTTGCTGCTCACTCAGTGCCTTACAGTGTATAAAGCTCTTCCCTCTTACCAAACTTGTTTTCTCCTCACTCAATTTTCAGCCCAGGAGGCAGACAAAACAGGAACTGTTTTCCAGATGAGGAAACTGAGGTTTAGCAATGTCAAACTCCAAGCAACCCTTTGGGTGCGGTAGGAGACAGAACATAATTATTCCATGTTTAGCAACCACTATCCTGCTGTGGCTCAAGTGCATTCCTCTTTATCTCTAGGGAAGGTCAGGGTGGGTGGAATTTTTTGTGGAATCAAGGCTTCTGTCAGCCCTGGAAACAAGTGGCAGTTGGTAGGAGGAACAGTGCTGGGAGGGTCTGAAGTTCCAATCAGAACTCCCCAGATGAAGGTGGGGAAACCCTCCTCATCATTAGGATCCACAGATGTCCAGCTTTTATACCTTTTTCCTGTCCCAATTCTTGGCTTCACTGAGCTTGGAGAGAAGAAGGGATGTGCAAGATGTTATTAAGCTGTTTCTGAGCCTGATGAACCTCCATGGGAAAACTCCAAGGAGGAGGGATATGGGAGTCTGTGAGTGAAAAGGGGGAGTTGTGTAGGTGATAAGAAATCCTGTGACATGGCTATAGGCCTGGCTACCTATGTATGTCTATTTCTAGGGGAGAAGAGAGGTGCTGGACCATACAGCAGCTGTTCCCTTGAGGTGTACTTTGACAGGCAGCACAATAAAGTGGTTAAGAACATGGGCACTGAAGCCAGACTACCTGGTTCCCCTGCTTCCTAACTGTGTAATTGTGTAAACTTGAGAAATTCTCAGCCTCTCTGCTCCTCACTTTCTCATCTATAATACAAATCACATAAGAGTTGTTTTGGAGATTAATTACTATGTGGAAAGCACTTAGAACACCCAGTGCATAGTAACTGCTCAAAAACATTAGCTGTTATAGGTGGGAGTTAGGGGCTCTGGTATCCCCACTGCAAAAATCCTCATATAACTTAATAGTCGGGCCTCTGTATCCCTGGTTCCACATCTGTGGATTCAGTGAACTGAGGATTGTGTGGCACTGTAGTACATATTTACTGAAAAAAGTCTGCATATAAGTACACCCATGCAGTTTAGACCTGTGTTGTTCAAGGGTTAATCATATTTGTATTTGCAGCTCCTATTTTTTTCTTTTACATCTCCAGAGGCTTAGATTTCTTGAATTTTTTTCCTTCCAACTGGCTGGAGGAATATTAGCTATTCACCAACATTTCAAAATGAAGGCCAAATTCCTACAGCAATTCTATGCCCCCATGAGTCTTTAAAATGTGAATCCTTCCTCACATATTGTTTCTTTGGGCACTGGTCATTGAGCATCCTGAGTTCCTTGCCTCAGTGAAGTGAGGCACCTGGGTAGTGGAGACCACACAGGCTCTCTCTGGGCATCAGAAGGGATGTCCTAGCAGGAACTCAACCAACAGGACTCCTTGGGTCCCCTTCAAGCCCAGGAACTGTTACAAGCGCTCATTTCGTGAGCCCAGGCACAGGAGTTTTAGTCCTTCCACACCTGTACACATGCTATTCCTTCCCCCTGGAACAGCGTCCCTTCTCCCTCTCCCTGCCGACATGCCTCACTACTCCTACCCATACTGCAGGTCTCAGCTGAAACAGCCTGTCCCCCAATAGGCCTTCCTGCCTTTGCCATCCACCCCCAAAGCACCCTTCACTTGCCTCTTGGTGGCCCTCATCATTGTGGTAATGAGCTGCTAAATTTCTTGCCTTCCCTGGAAGACAAGTGGGGTTCCTATGGTTTGAAGGTAGAATATCTGCCTCTGATACACAGAATAGGGATGTTCCTGTCTATAGGTACTGGCTCTATTCTCACCAGGCAAAAGGGACGAATAGGGATTTCATGGTCTTCTGAAAGCCTCTCCAGACTTTAGTTTACCCAACCCTATCGTATCACAAAACAATTTGCAAAGATTGGGAGGAAACTCTCAGACTAGAAGAAAACACCCAACTACTTTTCCTACTTTGTAGCTCAGTAGAAACTAGGAAAAATGTCTCAACTGGTCCTTGGTGTATGTGTCTATATTGGGGGTGTGGGTGGGATGGAGTGTAATACATAGCAGATAAGCCTTACCTCTTCCTCAGTTTCTTCAAAAATTCTGGCTCTTCTGTGCTCCCGATTCCTGTGTCCATGGTGCAACCCTTGCCTCCTGCCACCTCCACCTATCTTGTGGTCTTCCTGGAGGCCACAGCTGCTCCTGTTTTAGACTCAGGAACTGGCCAATGATAGGAAACCAAACAGAAACTCGGCAGGTGCCCCAAACAACAAGAAACAAGAGGCCAAAAGAGCATCACAATCTTTTTATTATGATTTCCACTGTGCCCAGCCTCTGGGAGCATCAGCTCTTTCTGGAGTGAAGCTGAGCCATGGGGAGGAGCATGCAGCTGTTGTGATGGGAGGACAGGGCTTGGGAATGTTCCCCTGAGCTTACTGTCAAGTTACCTTCTGCAGAAAACCACATAGGAAGGGCACGAGGGACCAGAGGCCATTGGATCCTCCAGCGTTACTTGAGTGTTCTCAGAGCCTGTCCCGCAAGCCTGTGTTCGGCTGGAGACAGATCAGAGGCCATCTCTTGTAGCCAGCTAGGCTTGAAGGCCTTTGTTTCAGCATAGATATAGAAAGGCCTTGCTATTTATACCTTGATGTTCTTATTTGTGGTCACGCCAACCCATGCTATACAAATTGGAATGCGATTGGGCTTTTTAGTCACTGGTCTGAGCAGACCTGACACCCTCTCCATGATCTGGGTCATCGGGGCATGTGGCCCAGAGGGAAGAAGGGTTTTCTTAGTGCTAGCGGGGTCTATTGGAAATTCTGTAACCTGTTCATTTTCTTTCCTTTTAAGGTTGTCAAAAGCAGTGGCAGTAGTAAAGCAACAGCAGGAAAAATATCCATTCCCAACCCACACCAGAGTGAGCTGTCAAGGAACAGGCATAATGCATTGATATCCCTTACTCGAGGAATGCTTTGTTGTCCAGGCTGCAGCTCAGGGCCAAGAGAGAAATCCTGGGCACAAACTAAGTGACGTGAAGAAAGTAGCAATTTTATTCCACTGTAAATAGAGTGGTTAAAAGGGGTTATGACTGTAGGTGCCTGGATGTCCTGAAACTATGGCATCAGTTTTGTTCTGCCTTTTAAATGCCAAGTGTGTATTTGCCTTTACTCAGCTTGTTTGAAGGGGACATGCCTGCAGGATCATTAGAGCCTGCCAGTCGTGCCTGGAGGTTACTCTTGACTCTGGGCTGGTTATGGCTGGCCTGAGGGCCTACCAGACAGCTTCTGCTGAGCTTCCTTCTTGTGTTTAGAGCGTCTTGGCACCATTCTTACTAAGTAATGAGACCTGCAATAGTTGAGGTTGAGGCTTATAAGCCTAGGCCCAATCCTGAATCCAACCTGCAGTGAGGTACCCTCTTCCCAGGCAGTTTGATTCTGTTCTTCCCATATTGTTGACAAGAATGTGGGAACCCCAGATTTGACCAAACAAGGCCAGGGTGACATCCCATAGGGAGCACCAGGGCCAGAAAGGCCAGTGTCTGCCCTGCAGCCCCAGTTGTTTAGGCTGAGGACAGAAAGAGGCAATGTGCTTATGGCTTCAGCCGTGGTTGTCTTCAAAGGAAGACCACTTTGAGGGGTCAGTACCTAGGAGCAAGAGGATGGCTCCATCCCTGGGATCAAAGTGGACCATTGCTCAAAAGCGCAGTGCCTGCATCTGCTGGAAGACTGGTTTCAGGGGAGGAAGCCATGGAGCAGGCCTGAGGAGCCTATCTGGCCACAGCTATTGCCTCAGCTGACTGTCTCTGTGACTCCACTATGTAATCCAGATGTCCCTGTCTTTTAACTCTAAGCATGGAGAAGAGGACTGCTGGGTGAAATACAGACTTAGGGCAAGTAGCCTTCAGAGAAGCATTTATGTAACCTCAGCTTCCCTTGGTTAGGGGGTGGGGTGGGTGGAGCTTGGGAAGAGAACTATCTCTGCAATTCTGGGCAGCCAAGATGAAAAGATCAAAATATTTTCCTCATACCCTTATTAGAGTCAGACACTGATTTCCATTATTGGCAGAATTTCAGACAGTCACAGTGATGAAAGGGCTTGACAAGGAAAGGGAATGGGCTTTACTAGGTTTATAAAAGTTTGAATGTCTCCATATGTACTGCAGAGGGGCTCCATGGATTAGGACACTGCAAAGGGAGATCCCAGAAAGGGGCTGGGTGGACCTTCTGCAACTCTGGACTGGGGTAGTAATGGATCCTCTCCTTTGGTAAAAATCTAGATGCCCATAGAGAAGACGCTGGTTGCTTTTCCATGCTTCTCTGCTTCCTAGGACTCTTATGGACTGGGAATTCTATCCTTTGCTGGGGGCCATGTACCCTGTACCCTTTGCAGCACACCCTCATCAGGGAACTTGCCGTCCTGGACTAGAGGGAGAGGAGTGATCCCAAATGGGCCTGATCCTGTTGTGGAAGAGCTCTGAGGCCTGCTTTGCCAGGCCCTGGGATACAGCTGGCCCGATCTGGCCCAGTCTTTACCACTCACCCAAAGAAAGCTAGAAGCTGCAGCTCCAGAGAGGTAGGCATCACCTTGGTCTGTGAAGAATCAGGGAACAAGAAGATGGACATCCAGTCCTTGTGACTGATGACGAAGCAGGAGAAATAAATCTATTTAGCTCTCAAAGCCCAGAGCTTGTTTCTACTCAAAATGCCCTGTCCGTGAGATCAAGCAGCCCAAGGCCATTGGCACAGAAGGTGATCTGCCAGTAGAGTAAGCAACAGCCCCCGTGCTTAATGTGCTTTAATCTTCTCAGTGCAAACCCCAGGCCTGGCTGCTTCAGATGCAGTCCTTGGGCCCAAGAGTCATGTGCTTTCTTTCTTTTTGGCTAGACTGATTAATGGCCCTCTCCTACTGATTAGTCGTGGGAGTATGGCTAAGGAGCATTTACAAAGAGCTGTGGGTTTTGAAATGTTCAGAGCCATACACATGAATGTATATTCATCTTCTGTCTACTTCATTTCAGTCCTAAATCATCCAACCCCAGAAGCGTCTCACTCGGCTTCTAGGTGAGGCAGTCTTTACAGGAGGAGACCATATAGTGCTCTTTCCATGCCCCTGGTTATAGCTCTCCCCTTTTCTCTGAGCAACACTGAGCTGTACGCTGCTTCTGTAGAAATGCCTTGAGCAATGCAATGTGTTAGCTTCTGTATGACTGACCCAGTCTCTTATTGAATAGCTCTTGGTAGTCAGACCTTAGGCTAAACCTAAGTCAGAAACTTGGACCTCAGGGCCAGTGCTGACCCACAACATGCACTTACTAGAGAACTTGATGAGAACTTAGGAAGGACAGCGGGGGCTTGGAGACCAGACTTGGTGACTTTGTGGCAGCCTCTTCTTGCCCCAGAAGTCTTTCCATGCCAGGCCCAGGCCCTAGGCTGGTGGGGTGGGATATGCAGTAAGCAGTTGGGGAAGCAGCAGCTCAGGCTCTATCTCAGTAACAGGGAGAAGGGAACACCTCCGCCTTCTGTGAGGCTTTTCTGGGACTTTTTCTGCTCAAAAGAGTTGAGATGCAAATCCTCTTCTTAGCTCCAGTCTCTTATCCTCATTGTCAGGTGGCTGAAAGGAGTCCCTGCTTAGGGCTTCTGTGGAGTTGCTCTTTCTTGGGCTATGGAAGAGGCTGGCTCTGCACTCCATACCACAGCACACTTTTCTAGGTCTACAATTGAGTTGAGCTGGAAGGATGGAAAAGCATGAGCCTTCTCCTCTCCTCTTCCATCCAGACCTTGTTCTCATTGGAGCTCAGGCTTTGGGTCTCTGTGGTAGCTGACCTGGGTGAAGCACCTAACCCAGAGGGCTGCGACTCCTGCCATCATACATGTTCTCCTTGGGTTCTGGGCCATGAGCGCCCATCTTAAAAATGGGCCAGGATGGCTCACCTTAGTTTGACTCTTTTGCTAAATAAAGACTTTTAGACTTGAATGACCTGGCTGAGATGTTTCTAGAATTCTGGATCCCTGGGAGGGGCTGCCTCCACCTTTTCTAACTTGGACTCCACATATTAGTTGTCTTCTCTGTCACCAGGAATTGGAATTTAAATAAACAATGGGCTGATGTGCAGTGGTGGTTTTCAACCATTTCCCCACCCCAACACATCAAGGGACATAGCATACATCTACCAGTACAGTGGCTCACAGGAAGGGATTTTTAGTGTGGGAAGAGGGAGCCTGTCAGCATCTCTATGAGAGCATGTGAGTCTGATATGCCCCCTTATTAAGAACCACTTGGCCAGAGACTGATCTATTGGAAATTAGGACTGGCTAATAGAAGGGCTGAGTAGAGACCCCCTCATCTATACCAGGGGTTTCACAAAAGAACTTTGGTCCTTTTTCAACCAAAAAGAACCAAGTCTCTGAAGGCCTGGGCAGCTAGGCGTGCATGTGTGTGTGGCTGTGTGCGGTGGTAGGTCTAGTCTACGGTGTGGAGTCAGGGCGTGGTCCGAAGTGGATGTTGCCACAGCTCCTAGGGCTTCTCCCTGTGGCAATGCATTTACTGCCTCTGTTGTGAAGGGGAATGGTGATTTCAGCGCCATAAAGCTTAGTGACAAATTGACATGTGGACAGTGCTCCATCCCCGTAAGTCTCAGTACCAGAGGTTGGTCGGGGAAAGGGGGAAGGAAAGGAGGAAGAGAACGCCACTGTCACCGAACTGAGCTTCTCTGCTCCATGCTATCCTGGGGGTTTCAGGTGAATGGCTGCACTGTTGGGGCGAGCAGCCAAGATGTAGATGACATTCTCCTGTAGGAAAGTAGGCCAGTCCACAGATCTGGAGTGGAAGTAAAGAATAGGTTTGTGAGTCTGGTTGCAGAGCCTAGAGGCTCATGAGACCTGATCGGCTTGAGCTGGGCAAAACTCAGGCAAGCCCGGGCTCGTACCTGACATGGTGATAGTGGGCTATGCTTCCAAGGTGACAGACCAGCTGGCTGGTCCTATGCATCTGGGGTCAAATGTGTACTCCTGAAGCCTGGTTTCTGGGGGTGGGCACTTGCTGTTTAAGGGTGGCAGTGGGTAATGCCCAACTTACTTGAGTGTATTGGGAGTCAGGGGAGCAGACAGCCAGATGAGGAGGTGTCACTCACCTGGACTCAGGCTCTGAGGGCAGCAGGGCCTTGTCCTGACTCTTGCTGCTGCTGCCGGCTGGGCTGCTGTCTGCTATGGGACCCACTTGGCTGATGCTGTTGGGCACAAGGACATGTGGTTAGGAGTGGGACAGTGGAAGGTCTGGCCCCTTCCATGCTCTGGTGAACCCATAGCTCTGAATATGCATGTCTGGGCTTGTCTGACACGGGGTGACATGAGTTTGGAGTAGAGGCTGCCCTATGTCTGGCCAACAGAAATCACTGCCCACTGTCTAATACACAGGAGGATCCTCTCCTGGCTGCTGGAGAAATTGGCAGGAGAAACAGGCAGGTACCTTTCGTACCAAGGGCCATTTGGCATGGAAAAAGGAGGGGATATGTGAGTGTGGGCAGGGACTGGTAGGGAGCAGACCTGACACTGCAGGAAGGAGCCTCTGTGAGGTGTTTGCAGAACCAAGAGTGCTGGGCACGGTGGCACTCTGCCTCACTGATGGTGCTTCCGCTGCCCCGGGCCAGGAAGGTGGCTCGGGCTCGCTCCCGCTCCTTGACTGTCAGAAGCCTCAACAGAGAGTTCTGGGGAAGAAGAGACAAGTTAAGATCTTGGAGGTGAAAATATTCTGTAAACTGTCATGCAGTAGAGAATCCTACCTCTATTACCACCTCTGCAACCTCCCTTTGATGCTGCCTGGGTCCTTTCTGGTAGCACCAACATTTGTAGTGGGGTCCAGTGCAAATCAATCTTCCTTGAGCAGTTTCCCCAGCCCAGGCACTGGATCACCTGTCACTGAACGGAACCTGGGCCCCTTCCTGGTACTGGTCCCTGTTCAGAGAGTACCCAGTGTTCCCCCAACCTGCCTGGCATACTTCCCAGGTCTCTGTCACCCAATATCCCATGAATGTTCACCCCAGCTGGCCCTCACCTGGGGACGCAACTGCTGCAGAAGTAGGAGGGACTCATGGGACAAGAAGTCAGGCCACTCTACATGTCCTCGGTGTTCAGGGTCCAGGGCTGCAAACTGACGAGCTGCCTGCTCTTCCTGCTCCTCACTGAGAGCCCTGTCACTGTCCCCCCGCTTCGCTGCTTGGTGGCGGTAGCGCAGGAAGTCCTCCAGTGTCAGGGAGCAATCTGTGGGGAGGCACCCCATGCTAGCCATGTCCATCCTTTGCTCAGCCTCTGGAGTACCTCCCCTCACCTCTAGGGTAATCTCCAGGGTGCCCACACCCACAGTTCTTGTCGAGTCTTTTGTCTCCATAGCCAGGATAACTCAGGCTGTGGCCAGGGGTGGGCCAACAGCTTGCGAATAGGGACCCATTTACTCCCTTACCCACCAAATGCCAGAATACTCCTTTCATGGTTTAGCCTAGAAAGTATGAAGGAGATATCTGCCTGGCCCTCTCCATCGGCAGCACTCTCCAGCCTTACCAGGGATGACTTTACACTGCTGAAAGGTCTCTGTGAGGCTGTACATTTCCTCCTCAGTTAGCAGCAAGTTGAGGTTGTTCTGAAAAAGAGGAAGAGCTGAGTCAGTGGCCCTATAGGCCAGTAAAAAAGAAAGCAAAGGATCAGGAGGAATGGAAATAGTATTTCAGCCGAAAGGCAATTCTGGGATCATCTAATCACAGCCTCACATTCACGAACAAGGAGACTGAGGCCCCACAAAGGGGGAAAGGACTTTCTCCGAGCTGCCCAACTCTGGGGCAGGATCTTCTCCAGAACCCAAGTATCCTGAATCCAGCCCAGAATCTCTTTTACTAAAATAGTGGTTTTGGGATGATTCTCTGAGATAGCCTAGGGATTCCTTAGATATGCCTTAGGAAGCTGTTGCAAGGGAGAAGAGGGCTAGTAAGTGGGCAGAGTTCTAGCTCCACCAACCAGGGCAGCTCCATCCTTACCTATTTTACTTATCTGGCTACTGTGTTAGATTGTGCTCAAGGAGTATTTTAGTTAAAAAGTTTAATTCTAACTCTAGTTTCCACATTTTGTAAAACTGTTTAATTCTAAAATGTATCACTTTAAATAACTGCAGAATGGTTTTGAAAGAGACGCCATCATGGAAAAGTTCCTAAAACCAAATAAGTTTTTTGTGGGACTGTGGAAGTTTTAATTCCAAAAAAGCACTGATATGTTATTTTGCTAACATTACTTTACAGTCTTACAAGTCTTCAAATTATCAGAGATTCTTTAAAATAGATTATTTCCCCCCCCCAAACACCAGCAAAGAACAGGAGCAGACATTTCATGACTATTCATTTGTGGATTTCATGAAGAACTCAAACCATTCTTTCAATAAGCACTGAGCGCCTAGTATATGCTTGGCACAATGGTGTTAACACTGTGAGATGTTCAGTGCAACTGGAGTGTGGTGTGTGTGTGTTTTATAGGAGAAAGTAGGGAGGGATGATAAAAGATAAGGAAAGGGAGGTGGACAAAAGTCTGACTGTAAAGTGTCTGAAATGCCCTTCATTGAGCCCCTCAAACTGGGCCTTTTTTCTGAGGGCAAAGGGGAATCATGAAAAGGTTTTTAAATGCAGAGAGCCACGTCAGCTCTTTGTCTGTTGTGTGGAGAATGGATTAGAGGGGCAAAGTCTGGAGGTATGGAGGGCAGTTAGGTGGCTGTTGCAATAGTACAGGTAAGAAAAGATGAGTGGCTAAACCAAGACATAAGAATGAAGAAGCGGGGAGAGACTTGAGAGATATTAGGAGGTAGAGTCAATAGGGCCTGTTGACTTACTGGATGTGAGAGGTGAGGGAGAGCACTGAGCTGGGATTGGTAACTGGGGGTGGTATTACTATTCACAGAGATAAGGAATTTAGGGAGAACAGGTTTTGGGGAAAAGACGAGTTCATTTTGGGGCATGCTGCGTGTGAAGTATCTGTGAGACATCAAGATGGATGTAAGTTCAAAAGACTAGAGGAAACTGAGGTCTGGACACACAGATCTGGGAATGATTGCTGTTTAGCCACTGAAGAGAGAGAGTACAGTGAGAAGAGTCTTAACAGAACCCTGAGAAACACCAGCATTTAGGACTGGGACAAGAAACTAAGGGCGCTTAGAAAGAATGGTCAGAGAAAAAGCTAGGAAGAGAATCAGCAGAGGGTGATGGAAGCCAAGAAAGAGCTGCACAATGCAGGAGGCACTGTTAACAGTGGTTATACAACTAAGATGGGATTTTACTGATTTTGTATTTTCTCTATTTTCCATATTTTATGTAATAATTCTCATAAAAAATACTCAAACCCTAAACAATATGGAAGAGCTAAATATGTCAGAGAGGTCAAGTAAGAAGATGCCTGAGAAAAGATCATTGGACTTGACAATTAGGGCTTAGGTGACCTTAGGAAGAGCCAATTCAGCAGAAGTGATGGATGCAGATTACAGGTGGTTGGGGAACCACATGGAGATACTGAAAGAGGAGGAGCTTGGAAGAAACCTTTGTAAAAGGTCTAGTGGAGAGTGGTGGTAATGATGGCAGGACTGTGACAGAAAGCCAGGAAGGTAGCTGTGCATTCCTAGGGATTTAGGAAGGAGACCTTTCAACCCTGTCCCACATCAGCAGAACACTGCCAAGCAGAGTTGGTGTAGGTGAAAAGGCTGACACTTGGAGGGGTGGTGACTAGAGAAGACTGTAGACCAGGGTCTGCTGTGGCATACTCTAGCTGGGGAAAAGGTATTTAAGTGGCTCGAAATAACGATTCTATACTTTGCTTTATGGACAAGTCATAGAGAAAGTGTTATTTGTTAGAAAGTAGGACATCTTTGCTTTCTTGTAGGTGGTAGGAAGAAGAGGGGGTCAGCAGAAAATCCTTACTCTGAAATCAGTGAATAATGAAGATATCTGCAGGGCAACAGATCAATAAAACAAGACTTGAACTCTATTCAGGTATGCTGAGAAATGGATATGAATCTAGCTTTTCATCTTTTCAAAAGTTGGAAGGCATTTATGTATAATTTATGACATTCTGAATCAATAGACCTTTGTTACTTAATTCACAAAATGATCACTTCAGAGATGAAGAACAAATGTTCTTAAGGTAGAAGGCCAAGTGAGGATATTAGCACTAAGAAGTTTTCCTGGGATAGAATCTGTCCTTCCTGGAAGCAAGCCGGTTAGGATTTCAGGGTTTTTTTTCAGATGAATACAGTGAATAACAACCATAGACTATGGGAGTAAGCACTGCTCCAAACAAGTACTTTTGAATAATTGGCCTCATCCTATCCATTCAGCTCTCTAGCTCAGTGGTTCTCAACTGGGATGACTTTGTCCCTCCAGGACACATTTGGTAATTTGTGGAGACATTTTTGGTTGCTCACAACTGAGGGTGGGTGCTACTGGCATCTAATGGATAGAAGTTAGGGACGCTGCTAATCATCCTACAATGCACACAGCCCCCACAACAGATTACTGTGCCCAAAATGTCAACAGTACTGAGGAGGAAAAAGCCTGCCCTAACTCTAGGACCCTTGGATCTACTATAGGAAAACTCTTCAGGTCACTGCCTGGAAACTAGCGTTCTAAGACTGGCCTCCAGGAGAAGTGCCAAGTCCCCTGCAATGCAGCAGCCCACCGTCCCTGCAGTCTAGGCTCACACAGTAGTGGCAGCTCCAGCCTGTTTCCGTGTGGGCAGTCTCGGTCACCTCCGCGGCACTGTCTCCCTGGATGTAGCCCATGCGGCGCAGGCAGCCATCGTGGAAAACCCTGGTGCAGATCCTGCATGGGAAGAGGCTCTCGGCCGTCCAGACCTCACAGACATCACACATCTCATCATTGACAACCTGGAGAAAGATGGCAGGAATAGGAATGTGTGAGTGCAGGCAGCAAGACTCCATAACCACCAAGGACACTGCTACCTGCATGGGGCTCAGTGTCCTTGGAGCAGCCTAGAGGAACAACTCCAAGTGAAGCCAGTGTTAAGGCAATAGAGCTTTCTCTCTGGAAGACAAGAATCAGCAGGTTCTTCCAGCTGCTCAGGCCTCTATGACCATGTTTCTGAGCAAGTATGCTACGGGCATTTTTGGAAAGAGTAATCTGTTGTGAGAGATTTTCCCAGGTACTGCAGGACACTTAGCATCCCTGTTTTTCTTGGCACCAAATACCAGGAGCAACTCCCAGTTTTGTGGCCTTCCTGAACTCCCCCAAACCCCTCCCCAACATTTCCAAATACCTCCTACAGGGGGCAGTACCATCTTTAGGTGGGAGGGTTGGCAGAAGACCTGCCATGGTATCATTCCTTATTACTCACTGCCTTAAGTCTTTCACTAAGACAAATCCAGGATGTAACATTTTTATTCTTAGAGAAGAAATTCAAACTGTTCTGACTCAGCTCTGTCTTTCTGGTTTTGAGTCTCACTTCAACTATACCCAGGCCTCTCTGCCCTGCTCCCTGATCCTCAGAAGGTCTAAGACTCGAAGATTCTGCCCTTACTGGACACTCACAGGCTCTCTGGGCTCCAAGCAGATATCTGGAGGCTTGTCGTCATCCAGCTTCCGGGTGGGGCGGATGAAGGCAGGGGGTGTGAAACGACTGGTCCTGTCAAACTCCTCAGGCTCCACTCCACGCCCGTCCCGGAGCCTCTCCCAGGCAGCGCGGTTGACAGTGCTTTCTTCCTGGAGTACTGGGGTACTTGTCTCTGCTTCTTTCTCCTCCTGTACCTCCTGGACAGAGCCCTCTACTGTGCCACGGCGAGACCCTGGAAGCTCACCTGTGCGTCGGATGGAAGGCCTGTCCCGCAGCCCATCCTTGAAGGCAGATACAGCCAGGCTCACCTTCTGCACCTGCTCCACTGTCTGCCGCTTGGACATCAACACCCCCATGGCTCTGTGGACAGAGAGCAGAGGGGCCCAGACTCAGTCAGTGGCTGACCATGTCAGGCCAATCTGTTTCAACCATTCACCTAAGTGGCAAGTGCTATTAAATAGTTTCTCCCTTTTCTGGAACTCAGTAGCAATGGCAGGGTGAACGGAGTACTTATTATGGAGTCAGAAGACCTTGGTTCTATTTCTGACTGGTTCTATGACTTTGGTTTTCCCATTTATAAAATGAGGGGGATCTGCTCAGCATACTTCACAGGGCTGTCATGACATCAGATAACATTAGAAAAGGGGCTTAACAGGGCTTATGAGACTGTAAAGCACTCTACAATGTGGAACAGTATCTCTGTCTCCCTTGCTGTCCCAAAGCCAGTTAGGTCCAGGGGTCCCGGGCCTCTGCTACTTTAAGATAGTTGGAGACTTCAGAACTAAAGTCTCTCTTAAAGATGACCCAAGGCTTGAAGCAAGACTGCAGCAACACATTTTGGCTTCTGACTGAAGAAATGCTCCTCCAATTAGTGATCTACATCAAATTCCTACTTTTTGAGTCAGAATGAATGAACTCCTATTTTTAGAGGGCTTCTGAATTAGCATTCAGGAATCTCTACCATCTCACCCATGTGGTCGAAGTCTCAAATACTCCTTTGCTCCCTCTAATTAGTAGCTATGCCTATTTATGGGTCTGTTTGCTACCACAGATAACCTGTCCATGACAAGCTCTAAGGTGCTTCTCACACTTCTAAGCCTTCACTATGTCACTCCCACATTTTCTGCTTTGGTTCTCGGAACTGTTCAAGAAAGTTCTATATTCTTTACAGGTTAAAAAAAGAACATCCTTGTTCTTCCTCTGCAAGGTAAGCACTGGAAACGTGAGGTTACAACACTGGAGAGTGAAGGCATGACATGATACATTGCGAAGCTGATCTGCTGTTTCCTAGCCTGAAGGGTCTTAGAGGAATTCATCTGGGGAATGTTCTAAGTAAAGTGGAGCAGAGAGTCCATTTCAGCCTGGTTCTCAATCCATCATAATCAAGGCTTATTGAACAGTACTCTGTGCAAGGCACCAACTACTTACTCATCAAAGGAAACAGAAGACGGGAGAACAGAGTCTCACAACTCAAGCTACTTAGTATCAGAACTCAAAGAAGTATAAGACACAGTGCTGGGAGTGCCTAAGGGAAGGTGAGACCACACTACTGGGAGTCAGAGTGGACCCTAAAGGGTGGGTAGGAAGTTATTCTCAGCTTGTTTGGAGGAAAAGGTGACAGAGGGAAGGAGGAGAGATTTGGGCCAATTAGAAGGCTACTATAACAGGCTTCTAATACTTGTCGAGGCAAGAGGTAGAGGGTTTAAACTGAAATGACAGCAGCAGGAATGATCCTGACTGAGTTGATTTGATACTATGGAAATAGAGAAATTTGGAATAAATCGATAACTTGATTATATCAAGGGTAAAGGGAGAGAGGGCAATTTTATATTTAATTATTTCCCGGCTTTACTGAGATATAATTGACATACAACATTTAAAAGTTTAAGGTGTACAATGTGATGATTTGATACATGAATATATTGTGAAATGTGTACCACAATAAGGTTAGTTAGCACATCCTTTATCTCACATAATTACCATTTTGTTGTTCTTATTGTAAGAATATTAAAGCTCTGCTCTCACAGCACCTATCAAGTACATACTATAGTATTAACTATGGTCACCATGCTGTACCTTAGATCCCTGTAACTTACTCATTTTATAACTGAATGTCCGTGCCCTTTGGCCAATCTTTCTCCATTTCCCTCACCCCTTAGCCTCTGGCAACCATCATTCTGCTCTCTGTTTCTATGAGTTCAATAGTTTTAGATTCCACACACAAGTGAAATCATACAGTGTTTCACTCAGTCTGTCTCTGCCTGACTTATAGGGAGGAAATTTTAAATGGACCAACTAGAAGGAGGGTAGTGCCATTTTACAGAAATTGGGAAATAAGAAAGAGGGATAATGAAATTGGATATTGTATGTGTTGAATTAAAGATGTCTCTGGGATATTCAGGTGGTATGTTATCCACTGTTTAAAACTTTCCAGTGGCTTTCCAAGGCTTTCAGGATAAAGTCCTCCAAATCAGCTTTTTTGTTTGTTTGTTTTACCATGGCCTGTGAAGCCCTCCTGGGTCTGGTCTCACTTCTTTACTCTGTGTTCTAACCACGCTGGTTTTCTTTCAGTCTTTGTTTGCCATGTTCCCCCCATTTTTGGGACGTTTGAAAATTCCACCCCACTCCTCCCCTTGTTAGCACCTATTCATCTATCAGAGCTCAGTTCAAGTATTGGTTCCTTGCAGAAGTTACTACTGACTCCGCAGACTGGGTCGGAGTGCTGACAGCACCATGCTCTTCTGCTCTAGAACACTTTGTCATTATGTATTCAACAGGATGATTATCTAATCAATGTCAGTTTCCTCTATTAGATTGTTTTTACCCTGCTTAATACTTACCTCTACTGCCTAGCAGTGTGTTTGAAAGAGAAGAGGAATTTAATAAACATTTTCCAATTAATTGTGGATAGGTTTTTTTGATTTTCAATAAGGTCTTAATACACATAAAATCTGATTACAGCCACATCTTATTTCCAGAAACAACTACCGTGTGTGCCACAGTGGTACAAATTCCTATCCTGTTTGGGTGCTTGCCCTGCCACCACTTGTTACCAAAGAAACTCAACCTATATTTTTAACTTTATAAACTTACTGATAAGGAAAGATCCCCTCTCCCCATTTGTAAAATTTGTTTGTAAAATTAAAATATATGGCTAAGGAATATTTGCTTTGAATAAGTAGCTCTCATTTATAGGATGGTGGCAAAGGAGGTTTATTGAGGAAAGAATTACTTATTTATTTATTTTTAACTTTTTTTTTATTGAGTTATAGTCATTTTACAGAGGAAACATTTATTGATCAAATTCAGGAAACTGTTTAAGGTGTTCATGTCCCAGTGGACAATTAATGATAAATTATCATTAAAAATAATTTTTTCCTCATTTGCAAACAAATATTAGATAATAGAGGAATGGTTAAATTATGGTACAGTAGAAAATTGAATATGAAAATTACTGAGGTAGAAGTATACTGATGTAGAAAGATGTTCAAAATATATGAACATATTAATGAAAAAAGCAAGTTAAAAAATAGCATGTTATGATCTAATTTTTGTAAGAAAGAATGCATGTTTTCCATATTTTTATTAATCTGTATTTTCTAATTTTCCTACATTGTACATTAATTATATAATTTAAAAGTAACAGAGGTAACCTGGTGACTTGTTTTGGTTCTAGATCTGCTGTGACCCAGGACACACTGTTTTACTGCTTTGGGCTTCAAGTCTCTATCTGTTAATGTGTGTGTTTGGAATATGCAGTCTTAAGCATTTAGAATGCTCATGTTCTTTTTCATGTTCTTTTAAAAGTCCATGTGACCTAATGAGGGTATCCAGCCTGGGTAGAGGTGGGGCCAGGGGTGGAGAAGAGGGTGTGTGTATGTTAGAGCTTTTGCTGAGGCTGTGGACCCAGGGGGTTCTGGAAGAGGCTGGGCCTGTAGTCTGCAGACACTGCCCACATGCCTCATGTGCACCGGCTGTGCACTACAGTTAGGTGGGTAGGAAAGCAAGTCCCCAGTGTACAGAGAGAGGAACAGGCACACCACACCAAGGAGGGAGAATGCAAAACTGACACACAACCCTTCACTGCAGATCTTGCTCATGACCAATGGCTATTTCCAAAGCCACAGTGTTTTCCTCAAAAAGTTTCCATGTTGTTTTCCACATTTTTTGACTGTGACCCATAGTAAGAAATGTAGTTTATGATGTGATTTATGTACACACATAGTTATAAACATGCATTCATAGATCTATAATTAAACCCAAAGTTTTGTATAACAATCCTAATTTTACCACATGTGGTGCTCCCTGATATTTTCTATTCTCTCTGTCCTACTTCATTAAAGCAGTCCTAATACTGACTCTCTGAAATGACTTCATGACTTCCTAATGGGTTAGGGTCAGCACTTGTAATCTGAAAAACATAGCCTTAGAATCATTATACATTTTTGATTAGGAAACTACACTTTTGTCTTTTGATTAAAAGATGGTTACCTCTAAAAGACAAGGACAACATTGTGGGGTGTAAGGTAAGCTTTCCCCTTGACTGGAGTGATGCAGGAACAGAATTCTCAAGCTTGTCTTAAGAGTCTGTGTGGTTAGAAGTTCTAGCAGATCTGGACTGCTGCTAATATACCTCTGACTGAAAAAACCCTACTCTATACCAGAGGATGTCCTCTGATCTGTGGACATATTTTTAAAAAATATTGGAGCAGTCTGTACAGTGATACAAAGGTAACCTTTTAATATAAAATATAATATAATATATT